TTTTTTTTTTTTTTTTTTATGAGTCCAGAAAAACCCTGATGTCAAAACCTGACAAGGATGTCACAAGAAAATTAAATAAGGGACCAGTATCTCTTATGAACATAGATACTTATTTTATTTTATTTTAAAGATGTGGGTTACAATTCAGGGTTAGGAATACAAATGTTCATTACGCAGGTACCCTTGTTGATGCAATATGCTCCTCCCTCCCCTGGCAGTTTCCCTACTGCCAATCACTTTCTTATAGTATTATGATAATTGTTTAAGGTCTGCTTATGAGTGAGAACATATGGTACTGTGTTCTTTGATTCTTGATAGATCACTGAGTATGATAGACTCTAAAGGTCCATATGTTTGTCCTTCTCTATGGTTGCATAATAATGAATATAGATATTTTAAGCAAAAAAGTTGCAAATACAAGTGAGCAATATATTAAAATGATAATACATAATGACTATGTTGGGGAATATCTGGGAATATAATGTTTGTTAAATATTTGAAAATTCACTGTATTAATAGGACAAAGGAGAATAATCACATGGTTATCTTGATAGATGCAGAGAAAGCTTTTCATATATATTCATTTGATAAATTTGTTAATTTAAAATTTTAAGCAAAATGGGAATAGAGGGACAATTCTTAATCTGATAAAACAGTATCTACCAAAATATATTGCAAACATAACACTTAATTGAACACTTTCTTCCTTACTTTGAACAAGATTAAACATCAACACTTGTATCCAACATTGTCATAAAATCTCTAGACAGTGAATTATGACAAGATAAAGAAAGTGAATATATATTGGAAAAGAAGAAGTAAACTCTTTATTTGCAGATAACCTCTTTGTATATATATACAAAATCTAAAGAATCTGAAAACATAGTAATGGGAGAGTTGAATTTTGCAAGGTTGCTGGATACATACAAATTAATTGTATTACTCTGTACTATTGGAAAATAGTTGGAAATGAAATTTAAAAACACTATTTGCATCAGCATTAAAAGCTATCATTTATCTATAGATGAGTCTCATGAAAAAGATACAGCACTACTACACTATATCTTTAGAGTGAGGAAAGATTTCCTTAACAAGACACAAAAATACCACATGGGATTAGTTGAATAAATTTGATTACATGGAAGTTGATAACCTTTCTCAAAAAAATATATAAAAAGAGTCAAAGATATTTGTAACATCTGAGAAGGAACCAGAATTTACCTATATAAAGAACTGTATATTAGTAGAAGAATTGGAGACAACTGCATTCATTTTTTGTTGTTGCATATAGAATTACAACAAATGTATCAGTTGTTGTGCACAAGGAGCCCCCACAGAACTGAGTCTACAGCGTAGGGTACCATACGTCTGTAATCAAGGTGTTGGCTTGACTATGTTCTCATGTGGAAGATTAACTGGGAATCAGCTTCCAGGCTCATTCTGGTTGTTGTCTGAATTTGTTTCCTTTGATTGTGAATTCTTGGTGACTATTGAGGCCACTTTTCTAGCTCCTAGAGGCTGCCTGTAGTTCTCTGCCACATGGTCTTCCTCAGTATGGCTGCTTACTTCATGGAACCGGCAAGGATAATCTCTAGAGTGAGTCTGCCAGCAAAAGGAGTCCAAAATGTAGCGTAATCATGAGAGTGACATCCCATCATCCTTCTGATGATAAAAAGCAAGTCACAGGTGTTTTGCACACTCAAAGTGAGGGAATTATATAATGATGTGAACACCAAGGGGTAAGGATCAATGGGACTGCCTTAGAGTCTTTCCTTCACAACAACCCAATAGAAAAATGAACAAAAGACTTGAACAAACACTTCAGAAAGGAGACTGTACAAATGGCATATGTTCATGAAAAAGTATTTAACCTTATTAGTAATCAGGAAATTAAAAACTAAAAGCACGATCCCCATCTATTTACCATTAGATTGGCAGAAAATGAGAGAGGGAAAATTTATTTTAAGGAATTGGCTCAGACGAGCGTGAGGACTGGCAAGTATGAAATATTTAGGGTAGGCCGTCAGGCTGGAAATTCCAACAGAAGTTGATGTTGCAGTCTTGAATCTGAAGGCAGTTTGGAGGCAAAATTTATTCCTTTTTGGGAGACCTCAGTCTTTTCTTTTCTTTTGTTTTTTTTTTTGAGTTGGAGTCTCACTCTGTTGCCCAGACTGGAGTGCAGTGGCCGCTCCCGGCCACCGCAGCCTCGACCTGCTGGGCTCCGGCGATCCTTCCGCCTCAGCCTTCCAAGTAGCTGGAATTACAGGCATGCACTACCGTGCCCAGCTGATTTTTTGATTTATTGTAGAGATGAGGTCTCGCTGCCCAGGCGGGTCTCGAACCCCGCGGGCTCAGACAATCCACTGGGCTCAGACAATCCACTCGCCTCAGCCTCCCAAAGGCACGGCATTACAGGCTGAGCCATTGAGCCCGGCTTAAAGTCTGTTGATTTAAATGTTGATCACATTTAAAAATCATCTTCAAAACATCATCTAAATTAGTGTTGGACCAAACAACTAGGCACTATAACCTAGCCAAGTTGACATCATCACATACCTGTATTACCACTATGCCTGAAAATATTATAACTTTTTAATTACTGTTATTTTTCTTCCCTGAATCATGCTTTACTTGGATCTTTATTTTCAGATAAACTTTTATATCTGCCTACCTCTTTCCTGGCATATCCACACTGTCTCAGTTCAAGGCACTCAGCAAAGTTTTCTGGAATACATCAACAGGATTAGAGACTCATCCTATGTATTCTTGAAACATTTTGGTTTTTTCCCTTATTTTAGCACTTATCACTTGTTTGTATTCTCCACTATACTCTAGGCTCATTGACTTTCAGGGATGGTAACTTTTTGTCCAGTTTGAAACCCTACACATTTTCCAGCATATAGGTGGCTCTCAAACATTTGTTGAATGAATTAAAGAAGTTCATGAAATATTTGGATGTAATTTTTAAAAGGATATGCAATTGTGTTAATATATAATTTTGTCATATCCTTAAGTTACCTAATACTATTAAGAACTTTAGTACTCCAATAAAATATAATTTTGTTGAATTGAAAAAAATGCAGTAAAATGTGGTAGAGATGCTTTGCTCATGTGGATAAATAAGCTGATAGGAACACAAAATGTGAACGATAAAGACCAATAGGAATTAGGAAAATTCGTGCCAAACAGTTTTAGTCAAACTCTTAATATTTACCTGTCATATGCTATTCTGCTAGAGGATGATTACTCAACAGTCATTGATGATGACAGATATGACAAATATTGCTTAAATTCCTAGAATGTCTTCAAGCTCTATGTAGAGATTTTTTTTAATCATTTAATTATAAATACTTTGCTTTCTTTAAAGAAAGAAAATACTATTTATAAAAACACGGATGTATGCAATAAACATGTATAACGTGTATTTATCTGTCTCCCTTCTTTTAATTTTTTGAGGTGCTTTATCCAGCCTGAGTCCTGTGAATTCTCCCAACCATGGACCAGTGTCTGCTGGCTCTCTAACTAATCGGTCACCTGTAGAATTTCCTGATACTGCTGATTTTCTTAATAAGCCAAGAGTTATTTTACACAGATCTCTGAGCAATACACCAGATATGTATCAGCAGCTTAGAAATTCTGATAGCAATCTGTGTAACAGGTAAGCTTCCCAACTGTTAATTATTTCTGTTTCAAAAATGTGGATTACAGTAAATCCTCAATATTGCTGATAGGCTCTTGGAAACTACAAGTTTAAGCTGAACAACCAATAATAAACTGCTTTTTCCCCTCAATAGTATAATGAAATGACATTACTTCAAGACCTGCTGTAAGTCATTTCATTTAAAGTCTTAGTTTTTGGCTAGGCTCTGTGGCTCAACCTGTAATCCCAGCACTTTGGGAGGCTGAAGTGAGTGGATTGCCTAAGCCCACGGGTTTGAGACCAGCCCGGGCAACTTTTTGAGACCTTATCTCTACAGTAAATCAAAAAAATTAGCCTGACCCAGTAGTGCATGTCTATAGTTCCAGTTGCTTGGAAGACTGAGGCAGAAGGATCACCGGAGCCCAGCAGGTTGACGCTGGGGTGGCCATGAGCATGCCACTGCACTCCAGCCTGGGCGACAGAGTGAGACTACAACTCAAAAAAAAAAAAGGAAGTCTCAGTTTTCAAGAACCTACTGGCAATGTAAAATTAAGACTTACTGTATTTTAATACAATATTTCCAGTTTTTTAGTTCTATATTATGACTAGATGATGGATTAAGACTATTTCTTTATTATTTATCTAGTAGTTTTTATTCTAAGTAAACCTTCTCTCATTTTAGTGCTATTAATTTTTAAATTAAATGGTCTCCATCTGAGGTAAAGTATAATGATATTCTACCCTTCATATTAGTAAATATTGAAATAATTATTTTAATATATACTACTTTAATGCCTATTCATAGTACCCAGTTAATATGATGTTTAACTTCATTTCTGCTTTGATAGTAATAAGGGTTTACCTAAGACCCTGATATTGACTTTCAAAAATAGTTTGTTTCCTTTAGGGACACACAGATGCTTGCTAGGATAAAACCTTTTAAGTTTATAGAGAGATTGGAATATGAGGATGTGTTGCAGTTGGGATCTTGGCTAAAACTTAAACAAATTTCCTAATTATGTTTAAATAAAATGTTTTACCTCATTTATCATGTATATTTATCTGTTTTATTCTACAAGCTGTGGACATCAAATACTGAAATATGTTTCAACTTCTGAATCGGATAGTACAGACTATCACAATGGAAAATCAGGTGAGATTGCAAAAGTCATATGTACTTTAGTTTAAAGCAGTTTCTTGCAATGTTTTTTAGAATGGACAGATGAACGAGTTTAACTTCAATTTATCCATCTTTAAAATGAAGATTATAATGTTTTTGCCTCCTTCACAGAGGAATTATTAAGAATATATTATAATAATAGATGGTTAAACTATTTTGAAGAATAAAAACGTGCTATAAAATGAATGTAGTCTTCTTAGGTTATGGCTAGTATTCATAAATGGTGAAATTGTTTATATTACCATTGAAATGTGTACTATATAATCTAAGCCCAAATAGATTTGCATAAATTGTTTTTATAGCATAGAGACTTGGTTTTAAAATCTGGTTAATTATATTATTTTGAAATATTTTGTGTATTCAAATAAGAAATAGTATTGATTAAATTATAGTTGTTTTATAACCTTAAAAAATTGGTGATTCAAATTACCAGTAATAGTTAACTAGGTAACTCAGACCAACATTCCCCATGAGGGCAGCTAGTAAAGCTGAAGAACTTATTTTTTGAAAAATCTAATTGCAGTCAGTGAAGAACTAATAAGCTCCCAGGAACTATCTAGAGGTGCAAGATCAAGAGGAGGATGGAAGTCCAAGAAAGTGAGCCTAGAGTTTGGGGATACCAAAAGAGTCTATGCCAATTCCTGAGGGGCCAGTGACCGATAGGATGAGCAGGTTTTTTAGTAGCTTTATGGGACTAGGGAGACAGATCAGAGTGAAGGTTTGTTATGGGGAGGATAATTTGGTAAACTCTGAAGTGCTGCATCCTAGGTAAACCTTCAGGGATTACAGGCTTATATCAATCCCTTCACATACTATAGAGTTTATCCTTTTCAAATGTGCATTTTAATAGTTGTTTTTTTACATTTTAAGAGGTTTTTTTAATAAAGGAAAAAGAAAGCCAGCTCTTCATATCTTTCCAAAAAATAGGACGGAAAACTTCCCAGCAAATTCTGTGAGACCATAACGAGACAAAGACATCACAAGACTACAGACCAACAAACCATTATGTGTACAGACACAAAAATTCTTTACAAAATCCTACCAAACTGAATTCAACAATATGAAGAGGTCACATTGTGGCTAAGTGGTACTTATCCCAGAAATGGATTAGCGACTGAACATTAGGCAATCAGTCAATGTAGTACACCACAGTAATAGAATAAAGAACACATGATGATCGTGATACATGCAGAAAAAGCATTAGACAAAACCCAATACTCTCTTGTGAGATAAAAACAAACAAGTAATATCAAGGAAATTCTTCAACCTAATGAAGGTATCTTTGAAAAACCCACAATTAACATCATCCTTAATGGAGAAAGACTGCAACTTTCCCCATAAGATGAGGAATAGGGCAAGGACTTTTATATTCAACACTTTTCTGGAGAGTTTAGCCAGGGAAATTAGAAAAAAAGCCATCTTGAATTTAAAGAAGGAAATAAAACTGTCCCTATTCATAGATCATATGATCTTTTACATAGAAAATCCCAAAGAATGCGCACACATATACACACTACTACTAATACTAGAACAATAAACAAATTTAGCAGGGTTACAAAGTTACAAGGTTAGTTTTCAAAAATCAGTTATATTTCTTTATACTAGCAGTGAACCATCTTATATTAAAGTTAAGAAAATATTTTTATTTACAATATTATCAAAAAGGATAAAGTAGTTGAAATAAATATAACAAAAGAAGTGCAAGATTTATACACTGGAAACTATAAAACATTGAAAGAAATTAGAGAAAAACTAAATAAATAGAAGCATTTCATCGTAATGGGTTTGAAAAGTCAGTATTGTCAACATGGAAATTCTTTCAAATTGATCTGTAAATGCAGTCTTTATCAAATTCTAACAGGGTTTTTTGTTGTTGTTTTGGTAGAAATTGGCAAGTTGGTGTTAAGATTTATATGGAAATACAAATGATCCACAACAGTCAAAACAAATTTGAAAAAGAATCACAAAGTTGGAGGACTTAGACTACTTGATAGAAAGCTTACTATAAAGCTTGTATAATTAGGACTTTGTGGTGTGGCAAGGATGAGCCTATCGATCAGTGGAACAGAACTGAGAGGCCAAAAGGAAATTCTTGTGTTTATAGTCAATTGATTTTCTACAAAGAAGCCAAGACTATTCAAAAGGGAAAGGCTAATTTTTTCAACGAATGGTTCAAGGACAATTAGATATTCACTTGTCACAAAATTTAGCAACTAAAGGAATTAACTTCTTTTTTTTTTTAATTGTTATTTGGAGTCTCACTCCATCGCCCGGGCTGAAGTACAGTGGCACACTCACGGCCACCCCAGCGTCAATCTGCTGGGCTCCAGCGATCCTTCCACCTCAGCCTTCCAAATAGCCGGAACTACAGGCACACACTACCACTCCTGGCTAATTTTTGATTTATTGTAGAGATGAAGTCTCCTCAAGTTGCCCAGGCTAGTCTTGAACCCACGGGCTCAGGCAATGCACTCGCCTCAGCCTCCCAAAGTACTGGGATTGCAGGCTGAGCCACCGAGCCGCCTAAAGGAATTAACTTCTGATAATTGCTGCAACATGGATGAACTTCAAAACATTATTCTAAGTGAAAGAAGTTCGGCTTAAGAGATCATATATTATGTATCATTACTATTTATATGAAGTTTCTGAAAGGCAGATTTATAGAGACTATAATCAGAACAGTTGTTGCCTAAGGTGAGAATAAGCATTAAATGTAAATAGGCTTGAGGGAACATTTTGGGGTGATGAGATGTTCTAAAACTGGATTGTCATGATGGTTGCATAACTATAAATTTACTAGAATTGTTGAACTGTACATTTATGTACTGAATATTTGTTTTCCTCAAAAATTCATATATGGAAATCCTAACCCTCAGTGTGATGCTATAGGAAGTGGGGACTTTGAGAGGTAATTAGGTCATGAGGGTGGACCCCTCATTAATGGGGTTAGTTGCCTTATAAAAAGAACTCCAGAACACTATCTAGCCCTCTTGTATGCTATGTGAGGATACTGAGAAATTGGTAGTCTACAGCCTGGAAGAGGGCCCTCATCAGAACCTGATCGTGCTGGCACCCCAAACTTGGACTTTCAGCCTTCGGAACTGTGAGAAATAAATTTCTGTTTTTTATAAGCCACCCAGTCTATGGTATTCCGTTATAACAGCCTGAGCTAAGACAATTTATAACGAGTAGATTTTAATGGTATAAAACGTTTTAAAAGAATGACAATTTATTACGTCTCATAAATTTTTGAGTTGATTAGTTTAAGCTGGGAGATTCACGCTTGAGGACTTTCATGTGATTGTAGTCAGGTATTGGTCAGGGGAGCAGTCATCTGAAGGACTGATTAGCTGAATTTCCAAGATAGATTACTCATGCCCATTGGCTATTTACCAGTCCCTCTGACTCCTCAATGAGCTTCTTCCAGTTTGTTGGCTACATTTCTAGAGGGGAGAAAGTGGAAGCTGCCAGTCTAGTTAATGGCTCAACCCAGAACAGAGAAAGTGTTACTTCTGCATTTTCTGTTAATCAGAGCAGTCATGATGCCTGTTGAGATTCCAGGGATCATTAAATAAATGCTCTCTTGATGGAGGTGTGACAAGAATACATTTCAGAACAGTATATGGGATAAGAGATAGTATTGTGGACATCTTTGGAAAAGAAATATGCCACATTTATCGCAACTGTTTTTATTATTATCTGTAAGATATAGTTATTAGTTCATATCATTAAAAAGTAAAATATGTAATATGCTTCAAATGACAATTTTTAGATTACTTGCTATTTTATAATATCATTGTAATTAATTGCCTTAACTTACCAAGAATACTTGGATATTCTAAATTTCATTTCTTAAGTGTTTTTCATTTGGAAAAATCTTATTTTCTAAACGTTAATACTTCCTGATCATCATGTAATCAATTAATTATTTTTTTGGTATATTCAGTATACTCTGTAGTGTTCAATTGTATAAATATATCACCATTTATGTATTTATTCTACTATTTGTGGGTTTTGGGAAAGTTCCCTGTTTAGGGTGTTACAAATAGAGTAAATATGTATTTTTTAAGCATGTAAATGAATAATGTTTAGCCACCAATACTGCTCCCCTTTTCCATGTGACATGAGAAAAGAATACTAATCACACTGGCAGAGAAATAACTCACATTTCATGATATTGTGGTTTAAATTGTACATGTGACTTCATCTCATTCATTTATAATTATGAAGTTCGAGTTTTGATATCTAAAACTCAGAGATGTTGGAAATTGTTTACATCAAATTGATAAGAAAGTTTCTATTGATAGACCCTGGCCTTTTCTGTTTGTCACTTTTGTAAGAAATATCCAGCCTTCTCCTCTTTCATCTATGGATAGATCTGAGTCCAGTACACGTCTAAGCACGAGGTACCTGGGCAAAATAGTCCAGCAAGATACAACTTAATGCTGTCATTAAGTAATTTATATTGAACTCCTTTATGGTTCAATATAATGTCTGAATATTTTTAACAAATAATTCATTTTTCTTATAAAACCATTCCTATAGGGCAGATTTTATTCCTATTTATTACTATATAAATTTTTTAAAGGTGAAGAAGAAAGCATAATTTCCTCAAAAGAATCATTCAGCCTTATGGAAGCTCAACAAGAAGAGGAGATAGAGAAGAAAGACTGCAGAAAATTGTTTTTGAAAGGTGATAATCAACTAACAGAAGAGGCACAGAATGAACAGCACTCAAATGTAAAAGATGAAATTTCAATATGGTTATGTTAAAGTGAGATATAATACTAGTTAGTACTGGTTTTATTATTTTTGCTAGAACAAGATTTTTAATGTAATGATATCTTAAATTTTTTTAAACTGAGAACTCCTTTAATGGTTCACTTTGTCTGAATGTTACTGAGTTATAGTGACTTACTGAGAAGTCACTATAACTGAACTATTACTTGGGTCACAAAGAATACAGCTATTCATTCTAAATCTATCATTTTAGAGCAACAAGTTGCATTCATTTTTACATGAGCACATTTTATTTAGTTTTATAGTAGATATGTTATTTTCTGTTCTGATATTTTCTTCATTTTATGTTTTAAAGGATAGACAACATGTGCATAATTATTAAAAACAATGAAAATCATCTACTCATAATAGTAATATATTTTTATTCTTAAAGTTCAAAATTTAGGCTTTTAGGAGAAAAACTCACTAATGTCTTTTGGGAAGTTATCTTGGTAATATATGCCAATACAAGGATATGGATTTTTTTTTCTCTTATTTACCTTTGGATATCTGTAACTTCTTTTTTTTGATACCTATAACTTCTAAAATAAAAATAATAGAGTTTAGATATGTGTAGTGATGTAGAAATATAACATTTTATTTATAAAAGCAATGTAAGAAGATTAAGAATTATTCTTATACCCAGAAGACATGCTTATAGTTGTCTGAAGATAGCATTCTATAAAGAGAAGTATACAGATAAGAGTAGATTTAAGAATAACCATTAGAGAAAATAGCTCTGACCATTTTTTAATGTTCAGTACTAAGCATTCTCATTTAGATGTGGATTTAACAATATTTATAAAAAGTAAAGTAAGGTTGTTGTTGTTGTTTTCGTGCATGTACAGATTGAACAGGCAGTATCACTGGACCTGATTTTAGTAGAAGATTATGACTCATTAATAGAAAAGATGAACAACTGGAATTTTCAAATTTTTGAACTTGTAGAAAAGATGGGGGATAAATCAGGAAGGATCCTCAGTCAGGTTTGTTTTGCAATCTACTTTTTTAATATAAATTAATTTTTTCTCAAATCTTTATAAAAAGTGAAATCTAGATATCATATGATATTGGTTTAGCCACTAGTTCAACAGTAATATTGTTCATTGAATTACTTTTTCAGAGAGACCCAAATATATGTACAAAACAATTGTTATATATAATATATAGATTATACAAATATATATGAAAAAAGTTTAATTGACTATATTAATGAGATTTAATTTAGGCTGAAGAAATAATAAAGATTTACATTTTCTAGAATCTTGAGGTTGAAAAGTACATAAAAACTGATCTAGTCCTAATCGTTGAAAACTTAAACTTCAGTTTTTTCAGCACACTTCCTATACTTTGCCCAAGGCCAAATGATTCGTTTCATGCTAGAAGCATGGAGAAATGCTTTGATTTTACCACTCAGACTCAGGGTTCTACCTGATAGGTTCACATATGAGTATCAGATTAACCTTCCCAAAATATCACTCTCAGTAATTGCTTTAATATCTTATGAAATGCAAAAATATAAGGATAAACTAAGTAGACATATAAGTTCACCTCATCGAAGTATTTAGGGACAAAAATGTGATCAATATGATATTGTTTTGACTTTTTTAACACCTAGGCCTAGAATAGAATGTAATTCACTTGCCCTTCAGTAAATTATGAATAAAAAACTAAAGAGATGAATGGAAAAAATTTAAAAATTGGGACACGGTATGTGTGGTAAGCCTTCTTTGGTTTTTACGAACCTAAAGGTGATCTCTTTCTTTCTTATTTTTTGGAAATATTTAATTGTTGGGAAGTTTTACATAAGTTATTAACTTAAAAACATATACATGGTTAGCACTCCTAAATACAAATCACAAAAACATATTATACTCAGCTACAAATGGAAATTCTTATTTTTAAAGTGAACTTTATTTTAATTGACATTTAGGTTATGTATACCCTATTTCAAGACACTGGTTTATTGGAAATATTTAAAATTCCCACTCAGCAATTTATGAACTATTTTCGTGCTTTAGAAAATGGCTATCGAGACATTCCTTGTAAGTATTGACATATCTTATTATTTTAGTTCAAATAATACTGGTTTTGAAACTCTTTATTATCTTTCTCTTCATACGGTCCCTTAAACATTTTTAAAAGTATATGTTTGGAAAATTTTTAAACAGATTTAAAAAAAATCTGTATTGTACTATCTAGAGTTAACTGACTACTGTTAACAAGTTGGTATATATCCTCCAAGATTTTCTTACATTAATTTATTTTTTGTAAAGTGGACCATATGTATAATCTACTTTTTATCTCATTGTTATATAGTGTACTTCATTTTATTTTAATAATTCTTTCAGTACTTTATCATTTTAAAAGTTAAGAGTTTCAGAGAATTCTTCATTTTAAAATGTTTCAAATTTATCCATACAATTTTGGTTTTTAACTGTATTCTGATATAGGGAATAATTTTTAATGGGTATTTGATTTTATGGTTGAATATAATTTGAATTCCATATTAGGAAGAGATACAGTTTTCTTTGTGTATTCTGTATGGTTTGCCTTCATATGGACATATTATTTGAAAAATCATTTATATAAAGAGCAAATTATTCTTAAATTGGCATAACCCATTAATAATGTTTAATAATTTAAGGTGTTATAGATATTGTAGTTTCCACTTATAAATTGTACATTTTAAAAAGTTGTTGAATTTTATAAATGGAATATAGGGATATTTTAAGATGGATTTTAGGGTAGGCAAAATGGAAAGAAAGAGATGGTAGGAGTCTTCACTGAAAGCTTCCATTAGGATATATCAGTTGAGAAAACAGTATCTGGACCTAACTTTTCAAAACTTTAGTTTAAAAATTTGTAAATGAAAATAACAATAGTATCTACTCCATAGGTAGTGATAAGATAATTCATGTAAAGCACAGAGTGGAATCTGTAGCACATAGTAAATGATCAATAAAAGATGATGATTGTATTTTTTTATTATTATAGCTTTTATTTTAAAGATGTAGGGTGCAGTTCAGAATTAGGTATACAAGTGGACATTGTACAGGTAAAGTTTAAGCCTCTCTTTGGTCCCCACTTTGTCTAGTTTGAGATCAAGTACCCTTATTGATACTAGGTATCCACCCACCCCTCGCACCCCAACAGTATCCTGCTACTGCCAATCCCTTTCTTATAGTATTATGGTAAATGTTCAGGGTCCACTTATAAGTGAGAACATGTGGTACTCTGTTCTTTGTTTCTGTGATAGATCACCAAGTATTACTGACTCTAAATTCATCAAAGTTGTTGTGAAGTCCATATATTTGTCCTTTATGGCTGCATAATATTCCATCATGGATGATTGTATTAATAATAATTAAGCTCCTAGTAGATTGACACATAATAGCTATAGCCTGAACACTTAGTAGTATATTATCTACTAATACTATCTTATAGGTATTCATTAAATATTAATTGAGGTGTTAAATTTTTATTGGATATCTGCTGTGACTAGTCATTAGATTCATATAGGTTATCTTATTTAATTTTTGCTGGAAATGTTGTATTATCTGCCTTTTACAGGTGAGAAGTAAATTCAGAGAATCTTTTCTACTATCATAAAACTAGATACCAAAACTATGTTTCCATTGTGGATCTATTGACTCTAAAGACTGAACTGTTTTTACTATGCCACATTACCTTTTTACACAATGGAATTTCAGTAAACCTGTGTCTTATTGATTATATACTAAGTGCCAGACACTGTACTAGATGCTTTCACATACTGTTTAGCATTTCATCCTTATAGGAAACCTGATGCATAGGCATTTCTCACTTTTTTTTAAAGGCAAAAGTGTAAGTATCCAGAATTTGTAACTGTTCTATGTATAAAAATTGTTTTTGTGTGCAAGCATGTGTCTTCATAATCCAGACACTATATGGTATTTTTTAAAGTCACAAAATAGCAATATCAAGAAAATCTTCCAGAGCCTTTTAGTTATCTTGCCTTGCTTTTTCTTTGGTTCTTTTAGTTTGTTTGTTTTTTTAAGAGACTTTAAAAGTGTATGAAACGAAGTGCAATTGTGGGGAATTAGTCTAAGTTACACATTTTATTTATGAGACTGTAGTGTGACTAGAAAATTCTTATGCTTTTCAAATGTCCTATGTCAAACCTAACACAATGACCATTTTTAAAAAACATTTTGCTGACTTTAGATCATAATCGTATACATGCCACAGATGTCCTACATGCAGTTTGGTTCCTGACAACACGACCAATTCCTGGCTTACAGCAGATCCACAGTGATCATGGAACAGGAAATGAAACAGGTACTTCCTTCTATAAATTTCCTTTAATTATTTGATTAGGAATATTCAAGTTGTCTCATTTCATTACCTATGTTCTTTTAGAATTTTCACTAATTAATCTTTGGTACATATAAAGGACAGTGTAAGTTTTGATACATAATGACATGAAAATTTTTAAACCTGTCACCCATTTAAAAAAGTAAGTTAAAATTCAGTACTGCTAGATTTATCATGTTTCCTCCTCTATCTCTCATCTGCTTGTTTTCCCCACCGAGGCAGTCAGCTGTCCTATCATAATAATTATTTCTTTGATTAAAAAAATTCTTTATTTTGTTTCTGTTTAAACTGGATAATGTACATTTAAAATAGACAACAGGGAACATATTTATAGGTGGGGAGGATACTTCAATAAGAGACATGTATAAAAACAATTTTCTCAGTTATCAATACCTGAGAAATAATATTACCATTCTAATGAGTGTAAATGTCACAGACTCAGCCACTGCTTTACATTTTGGTAGTTGACTCTAAAGTACTGCCATTGTTTATTTAATGGATTTGTTTTATAGCACTGGTGTGTTTTTGTCTGCCGTCTATATTTACTCTTTCTAGTGCCTTCGTTCCTTCCAGCAGTTCTGTGCTTCCATGAGAGAACATTTTATTTAGATTTTTTTGTTAGTAGATGCATCAATTTTGTCTTAGAAAAATATTTTTATATTTCAGCATGTTTGAAGATATCATTCCATCATCTTCTGGCTTTTTTTCATAGTTTCTGTTGATAAGTCAGCCTTAGGTCTTATTGAGAAACGTAATAGGTAAACATAATATGTTCCCTTTACCTTTGCTCTTGGTTTTTAGCATTTTATTTATGATATACTCAGGTATTCATCCCACTTGGTGTTCATTGAACTTTTGTTCAATATGTTGCTTGATGTTTTTTGTTGGTTTTCTATCATATTCTTCACAATTCTTTCAGCCTTTGCCCATTGCCCAATTTTAAAGCTGCTCTCACAGTTTTAGTATTTGTTACACCAGTATCTCACTTCTAGGTACCCAAAATCTGTATTAGTTTTTTTCCTCCCTGCTTTAACAAATTACTACAAATTTAGTTACTAAAAACAGCACAAATTTATTATCTTGCTGTATTGCATGTCAGAAGTCCAAAATAGGTTTGACTGGGCTAAAATCAAGATGTCAAAAAGACTGTTTTTCTCTTAAATGCTCTAGAGGAGAATTCATTTGTCTCCTCCAGCTTCTGAGAGGCACCTGCATTCCTTGGCATGGTCCTTTCTTCAAAGATAGCAGGATCCATCTCAAATCTCTCTGACCCTAACCTTTTGACTTCCAAAGAACTATTGAAAATTGGTCCAGCTACGACCTTGGCTTTCTGTCCAGAGCATACTTTCCTGACAGTGAATCTCCTAATTTTAGTACATTTTGCAGTCTGGAGAGGTAGAGAATGTTTTAAATCATCAAGATCTGAATTTTCTTTGCTTACCTGTTTTCCTCCAAGTCTTCCTCTTCTCATATTTTACTGAAAGCAATAAGAAACCAGGCTACACCTTCAACACTTTGCTTGGAAATTTTCTCAACTAAATAAGTTTGTAATTTGTAAATTTTGTGTTCTACATAACTGCAGCCCATAACTTAGCTTAGCTTTTTGCTACTATATAACAAGGATTCCCTTTCCCCTGGTTTCCGGTAACATATTCCTCATTTTCTTCTGAGCAGTCACTGGCAATGTTCTTTATGGCCATATTTCTGTCTGTCACCAGCCTGTTCTTGATGATTATTCTGTAAGGCAATATATACTTTATCTCCCATGCTCCTCACTTCCTTGTGAGATTTTGCTAGCAGTGCTATGAGTTCTCACACACAATGTTATGGAATCAAGTATCCATAGAAGACACGGCTTTGGAAAACCAATGAGCTATTGCAGTGGAAAATAGTGGAAACAAAAACTACAAGGACTGTAGGATGTGCTGGCTTATTCTGACTGCATTGGATAATTAATAGAAAATAAACGACCAGTTCAGGGCTTTAATTAATAGTTAGAGAACCAGGTAGCTTCTCTGACTGACCTAAAAGAATTTTAAAAATCTCTTATTTTTTTTTATAGTAGTGGAATCATAGCTTCTGAAAACAAACCTAATGTTTGATTCCAAAGTTGCCTGAAATACAATGCAAATTGAGTTAATGGCTTCAGGAGGTCTTTTATGTTAGAATTAAAATACTGAGAAAGAAAGGACCTGCCTAGAGCATCGAGGTGAGGTCATTTAGATAGATTTCAGCAAATATGATTACCCTGAAACCCCCAATCTTGCTGATCCTTCCTTCTGGGAAACATTCATTTCTTTTAGTTTTGATTGCCTGGAGAACCTTACTGACTTCATCTGAGATTGTTGACTTATAGGGGAATGCTAGGTCACCTGTAAATCAAACCTCACTGCCTTTCAATTCTTTGAGATCCATAGATAAATTCAAATCCTACAGATCTTAGAGGAATAAACACTATATATTATCATGAGGATAATTTACTGATTTATATTGGTAGGAACCTGGGCAATATGTGTGGGAATGAATTTCAAGTGTGTTAGACCACTGAGGAAAGAAGATAATGGTGTATCATTTTCGGTTTATTCATATAGATGTACCCACCAGAAATTCTTGATTCAGTTTACACAATTGATTTTCTGAAATATGGGCATCAAGTGAGTAGAATTGTTGGAACTTCCTAGAATACTGTAGAGCAGGGTTCTTGAAACCCTGGGCTACTACCAGTACCAGACTGTGGCCTGTTAGGAACTGGGACGCACAGCAGCAGGTGGTGGTAGTGGGGGCAATGGCGAGTGAGTGGAGCTTCATCTGTATTTACATCTGCTCCTGATTGCTTGCCTTACCACGTGACCTCTGCTTCCTGTCAGATCAGCATGACATTAGATTCTCATAGGAGTGCAAATCCTATTGTGAACTGCACACGTGAGGGACCTAGGTTGTACGCTCCTTATGAAAATCTAATGCCTGGTTATCTAAGGTAGCGCTGAGGTGGTGATGCTATATATTTCATTATATATTGCAGTGTAATAATAATAGAAATAAAGTGCACAATAAATATAAATGCACTTGAATTATCCCCAAACCATCTCCTCTGCTCCCCGCGGTCCATAGAAAAATTGTCTTCCATGAAACTGGTCCCTGATGCCGAAAAGGTTGGGGACCATTGCTATAGAGGAAGGAATTCAGAGGCTTAGAGCTGTTGAAATGGAAGGGTCATATTCAGTTTTATCATCCATACCTAACTTTATCCCTCAAAAGTGTCCTCCTTTGTCATAGTATTGAGAAATATATTGCAATACTAATTCCCAGAGAGTGAAATGTTTTCCTGGTCATCCAGTCAGAGTTAGGGCCCTACGGAATGTAGGTGATAAAAGGACTTTGGCCTGGGTCTATCTAACAGTGTATACAAGTAGATTCTTCACCTTCTTGGTTAATTTATTCTTTATTTCAGTAGCTTAGGGGTACAAATGGTTTCTGGTTACATGGCTGCTTTGTATAGTGGTGAAGAAATCTGGGCTTTATGTGTACCTGTAACCCCCATTAGTTCACATTCTTCCTTCCTGTCTTTTCCCTTCTGAGTCTCCAGTGTCCCTCATGTCATTCTGTATGCCTTTGCAGACCCTTTGCTTAGCTCCCAAGTACAAGTGAGAACATGCAGTATTGGTTTTCCATTTCTGTATTACTTCACTTAGGATAATAGTCTTCAGTTCCATCCAACTTGCTACAAAAGACATTATTTTTGTTCTTTCTTATGGCTGAATAGTATTCCATGGTGTGTGTGTGTGTGTATCTTTTATTATCTACAGATTAGTTGATGGGCATTTAGGATGATCCCACATCTTTGCAATTATGAATTGTGCTGCCGTAAACATGTGAGTAGAGGTGTCTCTTTTGTATAATGACCTTTCTTTCGTTGGGTAGATACCAAGTGTGGGATTGCTGGATCAAATGGTAGATCGACTTTTAGTTCTTTGAAAATCCCTGTACTGATAGATTTTCATAGACGTTGTACTAATTTACATTCCCACCAACAGTGTATAAGCATTCCCTTTATACTGTGTCCACACCAACATCTTCTGTTTTCAGATTTTAAAATAATGACCGTTATGACTGATGTAAGGTAGACTCTCATTGTAGTTTTAATTTGCAGTTCCCTTATGATTAGCAGTGTTGAACATTTTTTCATGTTTGTTGGCCATTTGTATATCTTCTTTTGAGAGATGTATGTTCATGTCATTTGCCCACTTTTTGATGAGGTTATTTGTTTTTATCTTGCTGATTTGTTTGAGTTCTTTGTAGATTCTGGATGTTAGTCCTTTGTCTGATGTTTAGTTTGCAAATATCTTCTCCCAGTCTGTAGGTTGCCTATTTACTCTGTCAATTATTTCTTTCACTGTGCAGAAGCATTTCAGTTTAAGTCCCACTTACTCATTTTTTTGTTTAAGTGCTATTTGCTCTTGGAGTCTTAGCTATAAATTCATAAATTGCCTAGGCCAATGTCCAGAAGAGGTTTTCCTAGTTTTTTTCCTAGAATTCTTATGGTTTCAGATTTAACATTAAGGTCTTTACTCCATCTTGAGTTAATTTTTGTATGTGGTGAGAGATAGGGATCAAGTTTCATTTTCCTGCATGTGGCTGTCCAGTTTTCCCAGGTTGAACAGGGTATCTTTTCCCCAATGTCTGTTTTTGTCTGCTTTGTCAATGATTAGTTGGTTGTATGTATTTGGGTATATATCTGAGTTCTGTATTCTGTTCCATTGGTCCATGTGTCTGCCCTTGTACCAATACCATGCTGTTTTGGTCACTGTAGCCTTGTAGTATATTGAAGTTAAGTAATGTGACGCCTCCAGCTTTGTTCTCTTTGTTTAGGATTACCTTAATGATTTGGGCTCTTTTTTTTTTTTTTTTTTTTTTGGTTCCATGTGAATTTTAGGATTTTTTTTTCTAATTCTGTGAGAAATGAC